ATTAAATGCATCTCTTCTTTTATGATTTTCCCCCTTTTTTAAGGATTATGGGAAAATTGGAGCTTAAATCACCTGGCATTTGGTACAAGGGAGGAGTTTTCCTCAGTAGAATCCTGGAATCATTCAGGTTGGAAAAGCCCTCCGAGACCATCTGGTCCAAACATTCCCCCAGCACTGCCAAGGCCACTGATCCATGTCCCCAGGTGCCACATCCACAGGGATTTTTAGATCCCTCCAGGGATGGGGATTCCCCCCGTACCCTGGGCAGCTGTGCCAGGGCTGGACAACCCTTTCCATGAAGAAATTTTCCCTATTATCCAATCTAAACCTTCCCTGGTGCAACTTGAGGCCGTTTCCTCTCCTCCTGTCCCTTGTTCCCTGGGAGCAGAGTCCGACTCTCCCCGGCTCCAACCTCTTTTCCCTATTTAACTGGGCTCTGGATAACTTCATGTACTTGAAACTATTAGGACCTTCCTAACCAGTAGTGGGAAACAAACTTATCCACAGTGTGTGCTTTGCCATTTTCCAGAAGGATATTTTGGAAGTACTTCCCCCCCCAACCCTCCTATTTTATTCAGGGGTGGTTTTATAACCCAGGTGTGCATTTGGACATTCAAGCACCACTGTGTCATTTATCTAAGAACATTTATTTCAAATCTAGTCTAAGCATTTATTTAAAAAGAAGTGACTTAAGTCAAGTTCTGTAGTTTCTTTGATATTCATCCAAAACAGTCTAAGAGGTTTCTTCCAGTAGAACAATTCTCATGGAAGTCTGAGCTGAATCTCATTCTAGAAATGAGGGAAAATTCCAATATTTGAATTCTTCCCTCTCTCTTTCCAAACCCTTTAGTACAAGAAAAATTAGTCTTTGCTGATGCAGTAAATTAATTAATGAATGTCCTGTGCCTTTGCAGGTAAATTGTTGCCAGCATTTGAGGTGGTGCCAACGGGTTTTGACTCCGACACTTCCGCTCTCAGCATTTCCATTCCCGTGGAGTCGGAGGTTGGCTCTGATGTTCTGTCACCCCGGGAACTCTCTCCCAGCTTCCCAAAATTGTTTGGAGACAACCCAGCGAGCCAGTGCAGTGTGTCATGCCACCAGCTGGAGGTGGATGCTCCGATTTCCACGCAGGATCCAGAGTGTCCTGCTGTCTCCAGACTCGTTGGAGCGAAGCAGGATCCACCCGACTGCTCTTCTGACACGGAGAGTCCCCTCCTTGTTCCCACCAGCGTTCAGGATCTTGCTAAAAATGAGTCCAAAATTTTGGACAGCAGCCTGCAGAGATGGGCTGCTGGTGTTTTGGCTGGAGTTCAAGATGGAATGGAAGCTGACAGAGGATCCCAGACCTCCAGTGTGGGAAGTGAGAGACATAAGGAGCAAGGAGGTGATTCTTTGCTGGGGTCGGGTGTGTTGAGGGACATCCAGGAGCTCCTGGCAAAGGCAGAGGATTTGAGTGCCAGGTGGTGTCCTCCTGCCTTTTCCATGGCCTCTTGTAGAGAAACTGGGGAGTCTTCCCTGGTGCTGCTGAGACAGGAGGAGGATCCCAAAGATCCCAGGTCGGCGAAGGACAGAACCCCTCAGTTCCAGAAGAGACCGTCGTGGGATGAGGCTGCGACCCGGCGAAGTGTGCGAGAAGAAGGGTTGGGAATAAACCCTTGGAATTCTGACACGTGCAACTTCAGATGGGAGAACTCTTTGGACGTCAACTTGCGCCGCAGCGAAGGGACGAAGGAAATATCCCAGGAGTTCAGGGCGGGAAAATCGGCGGGAAGGTCGGAGCCGGAGGGTTGTAGCAGCGTCACCACGGACAGGAACCAACGTGCCCTGGTGGGCCTGGCACAGAGCAGTGCCAGCAGTGAGGGCAGCACCGGGGCAGCCTCAGAGCTGGGCAATCCTCCTTCCTCAGAGCCCCCTGGAAGCATCACTGATATCCCAGGAGCCTTCCAGAGCACGTCTCAAGCTGGTGGAGCTGGAAGCAAAGCCGGCGGCGCCCGGGGGAGCGACGAGAGCAGCAGCGGAGATTCCCTGGCTGCCCGTGTCAGGAACCTCCTGGGGAATCCTCCCCCCTCATCGGAGCATCCCTGTGGCACAGGAGGATTCCAGAGCATCCTGAGTGGAGCTGGTGGTGCCAGGATCAAGGGAGGAGGGCTGGGGGGCAGCGGCAGCAGCAGCAGTGGGGATTCCCTGGCTGCCCGTGTCCGGACCCTCCTGAGGAGTGGATCCCCTGGGATAGAGGCAACCCGAATCCTCAGGAACGCAGAGGAGCAGGAGAGGAAAATCCGAGGTGAGAAAACGTCTCTGTTGTGTTTTATTTATTGTATTTTATTATTAAAATGACAGATCTTTATTTAGGTTCATGTTTAAGGGGTCGCTTTGATGTGGGTATGAGGGGATCTGTGTCTGCTCCCCTGATTTTAGAGGGGATTATATCATATTATAACAATCAACTTTAATAGGACAGGGCTTAAATGATGGATATTTTTTAGTACTCCTGTGTAAAATGGGGTAGAATTGGGCTTTTCCACTCGGAAAACCTTTTGCCTGACATTGATATTTTATCCACATAGTTATTAGCTCAAGAATTCGGGATGGGATTGTGTGAGTGAGTTTTGATTTATGGCTGAGACCACAGGAGGAAGATCCTGGATCCATCTCTCCAAAGAAATGTTCCAAAATCCCATTGTATTCCTGGTCATTTACATTGTAGTTACAAATACATTTACACTGTATTCCTGGTCACTCCAGGAACTCTGGAATTCCACAGTGGGGCTTTGTTCCCTCGGTCGTGGTACCTAGAAATGATTTTAAGTTATCAAACTGTTCTCATTCCACAAAACTGGAAAGGAAAACTCTTCCTGGTTTGTTTTGTTTTGACAGCCTGGGTGAAGCTGAGACTGGCCAGCAGATCCCAGGAATCTGTGCCAGACTGGGATGAGGAGACCCAGCAAAGAATCAAGGAAATCAAGGCAGAGCTGCTCCTGAGGGCCAAGAAATCCGTGCAGGCCAAGGTACAAAAAAGCTTTTCCACATCTTCCTGTGAGGGTTTTTTATTTGTTTTCCCCAAGTAGGAGTTGGAATCTTGAGGGAGGAGCTGTCTGGGATGTGGGGAGGGGACACAGAGCCGAGGATGTTCCAAAGGAAGGTCTGGAGGGCACAGATGTGTTGGGAAAATTCGTGTTATTGTGACAAAGTTCCTGCAGATTCTGCTCCTCCAGTGGCTCGAGGAACTCTTTTCCCAAAATATTTATGCAGGTGCTGGTTGTGCCTTGGAAACTCCTCCTCCAGGGAAGGAGCTCCCTGGACAATGGAATATCCTCTGGGCCAGGGGAGTTTTTGTTGTCTTAATTCCTGTGAGATCCTTGGTTTTCAAAGGATCTTCAGGGAAGCAGGGAGGGAATTATTCCTGCTCTGTGTTGTTCAGAGGGAAGGGGCTTTTCCAGTTCCTGTTGGAATCCAAACTCCTTCAAGGTAAGGAAAATTCTGGAATGGTAATCACTGGATGTTCTTAAAAGCTTGGGAAGTATCTGTAGGATAATCCAATGCTGATTTGGGGCAGGGCAAACTGAGCTTTCAGTCTCTTGCAGCTCTGTTTTCCTGGGAAAACCTGCCATGGAATTGTCATGTTTTGTGTATCTCCTTGGCAACATTTCTAGTTCATATATTAACATAAATATCCAGACTGGAATTTTTCTAACCAGGAGTATTTTACCTTCTTTTTTCCCCCCTTTAAATATCCTTTTTTTTTTTTTGGCAATGTCCAGTGTGATTATGGAAATCCCAGGATTTCCAGGGACTGGGGTTTCAGACGAGTGTCCTGAGCTTTAGGAAGAACTTCTTTTCTTTTTTTCCCTTTCTTTTTTCCCTTTCTTTTTTCCCTTTTTTCCCTTTCTTTTTTTTCCCCTTTTTTTTTCCATTTC